TTTGATTTTGATAATCCTAATCCGACCCATCTATATCCATAGATAGCTCTTACTAATGAATTATTGACCTAATTAATTAAGAAATAAAAGAAGGTTGAGAAGACTAGAAGCTAGGGATGGATGAGCGGCCGTCCGTCCGTGGGAAGAAAGAAAATGACTTGCCGGACGGTGGGGTCCGGCCGCCGTTGCTACCATCAACTAATAACAACAACTTGCCCCCATCCACCCGCTTGCAAATTTTCCACCTAATCAACGAAAGCGATTTGTTCCCATTAATTAAAAACCCTAAATGATGATCAAAAGCTTAATAATTGTGCACACTCATCGCTAGGGTTTGTTTTGATTAAAGGGAGAATATGGCCAGAAAGAAAAAACAAAGGATGGGAATAACGAAGTAATTGAAAGGATAAGGTCGTATCTATGATGATAATTTGAACCTTCATGGCGGATATTATTCAATCGGATTCGTGTTGAAGTGAGTAATACCGGGATTCATTAGTGTGGGGCGCGCCATGGTATTTCTTCCGTCATGTCTTGTTTTGTCTCGTCCCACTTTTTCTCCGTTCAGTTTGAATATGTCTCAATATCTATTTGTATTTCTCATATTTTGATATTTCTTATTTAGATAAAATATTTACTCAATGATATTTAGATAAGCACAAGACTTATCTTTTAGCTCTCCCAAAAAAAAAACTTCATCTTTTAGCTAATTATATTCAGCTGATCTATCTATTATCTTTATTTTTCATTTAAAAACTATTTCATTTGTTTTCTCATAAAAAATAAACATTATTTTAAATAACTTATAAAAATGGATCGACCTATCCCACCTGTACCTGGACGGGTGTTACCCAACCTGATTTGTGTTTGATGGAGAGCTGACATGGTTATTGATGTACCCATTGTCACTCACTTGTAATATCACATGAAGAGAGTGATCAGTCTACAAAATCACAACTATATATTTCCTTCTTAATAAGAATGTGCATGACACATACTAGTTAGGGCAGGTTTTATTTTATACATTGCTAACCATCTAGCATCCTAAAACTTACTGAAATGCTTTTGAAGTGCTAACAAGATCAGTAAATTACAAAACCGGTCATTTTTATAAAAAAATTCTTATCACGAATCACAAGTATTTCGTGACTTGACATATCATCTCCAAAATAAACGATATCGAAAGGTGTACTTATAAATATTTGTGGATCTAAGTCCCCTTCCCTCACTCATTTTCTTAATACCCCAACATACGTACGGTTGGCCAAAAAGAGGTTTGATATTGTAATGGTGGACGTGGGTATCATGATTGGACAAGCTCAAAAGTTCCAATTAACAACTGTCCTAACTCCTAACCCCATCTTTGTTCAAATAGACAGCCCATAAACACCGTTTAATTACGCTACACGAAATACATAAACACAAACTACTTTCTTTTGATTAATCAAGTGAGATGTTGTTATCGTAATTATATCACCCTTCCTACTCCAAAATTATAAAATAAATCCCTTCTTCTTCACCACTCTCGTCCTCCTTTTGCGTCAACACCCCACCTCCCCTTTTCCTGGTTTAACGGTTGAAAATTGGATCACTCACCAATTTTTGGATTTAAATTGGATTTACATTGTTATTTTGGTTGGAATTCCCAAGATTCAATTGTCGGTTTGGAAGGACAAAATTCCTTAACGACGGCCACAATTATTTTTCCCTGTCGTCCCTATAGTACATATCTAGTCATAGAATATATAAACGGAAGGACAACTTGCCGGCCGGAGTAGATTGTGTCACCTCTTCATCAACCGCCAGCATACCAACAACCGTTAAAACTGTTGGAAATTTGATTGAATTGGACTAACCAAATCAAACCGATTTTGGATTAGACCAACAAATCAAATCCAGTTTTCTGAAAGATGTGATGCCAAGCTTTTTGGAAAGCCATGTCCACTTAATTTGAATAAATGTATACGTTGCATGACAATGTTGGATATTGGCTGTTAGCCTAAAAACAATGCACGTTTTCATTTTTCAAATTTAGTGGCAAGAAACTCATGTTTATCCTTGACGGTTTGGAAATTGGGATAAAGAAACACATTGTTTGGCAAAATAATATTTCATGGATGGTTTGCATGAACTTTCATGGCAACGTTTCATTGAAATGAAATTATGGGTTTGGCCAAAACCTTGCCATTCACGGTTTTCTCCCAACCGCCACAAAGTTGAAAGATTGCAATCTTTCAATGGCAACTATTCGTACACTATAAATACAGGTGGTACGTGATGGGTGAAAATATACACACAACACCAAATTTCATTCTTTCTTCCAATTAAACTTCTAAGTATGCTTTAGGTACTTAAGCCTGGAACCTAAAGTGGTGATAGTTTTATCCTACGAAGAAATTTTCTGTAATCCTAGGCTTGTTGAGGGTGAAAATATTCTTTACGGAAAGTGAACGTTGTTCACGACTCTATCACAATCCTGATCACCCGGTCTCGGGCTATCGTACGTGTACCCTCGTCCCTAATAGCCCCAACAAAAACTTGTCAACCAACATTTTCCTTCCACTCGTTTCCAACGACACCAACAGAGAAAGAGCATGCTCTCACGATGACAACAGGGGCCCCCTTCGGAAACAGGGATGGCAGTAGAACCCGAATCAGTGGCGTAGTCAGACATTGAGTTCACTGGGGTCCTTAAAAATTTACTAACACTAATGCTTGTGTACCTAATGAATTTTGAGTTAACCGGGGTTCTTTGGTGAGCTAATATCGTTGAGAGTATGAGTCCTAAACTTGAATTATCGTACTAAAACTTATGTATCTAAAGAATTTTGTTTCTCAATTGTTTGCCAAGTGGGGTCCTAGGATTCCTCTCTTCCTTACCTCCCTCCGCCACTGACCCGAATATATATTTGAACTATGAAAAATAATTAAAATATTTGAAAATACAATTAATTAAGCTACTGCATATTAATACATGGGAATCTTTTGAGCCCATCACACTATCCTAAATGTATCGTCTATGAAGTAGGTTATATACGTACACATATACCGATTGTTATAGTCCTAAATGTATCCTTAATGACATATTTCTACTAGATCATGAATTAAATTGAATTTGATATATGATATTATACCCTAACATAAAGATCAATTTAATAAATAAAAATATTTTAAAAAAATTTAAAATACTTTTTACGATCAAATCACTTGAAGCATGATATAATACATGAGTGCTCATTCATTACCCATACAGATCGATAAACAAAAACCAAAGGTCGCGACATGGTGTGTGTATTATATTCATCTGAAACAAGAGATTACCTTGTCATAGGACAAAAAAAACAAGAGATTGCATTAATTAATTGACTCTGCTTAACAAGATTTTGAACTCAAAACAAAAAAATATTTTATCTTAGCTACGTTGTTAGCTTAAAGTTAAATTGTTTATTATACGGGATATATAACAGGCATCTAATTCACGAGCTACGAGTAGAAGGGGGGAATCTCGATGTCAACATCTAATTGACAATTTGACATTGTTATTAAATATTAATTATTTTCTTAATCGTAATGCTCAACCTCTAACCTTTCCCTTAACAAATGAGCATCGAGGAACATGTATGTACATTAAGCTTTATAATAATTAATTAATAAATTAAAGCTACCAAAAGAAAAACTAAAACCATTTTCATTTTTCCTAACTTTTGAGAAACCTAACCACCTCTATAGTTTTTTTTCCTGCATCAAGTATCCAACTTAAACTGGCGATGCATAAATAGTTACCGTAACATTTCAAACTTTTTTCTGGTAAAATATTGTCCATTTAGAGTCTAGACTTGCACGAAATTTGTCTTGGGGTGTATGTTGATGTGACTTTGCATAAGATCACCCATCTTTATATTGCTCCACAGTAAGCACGTTTAACTTCGGAGTTATTACAAAAACTCTTTCATTTAACCCCAATATCATTTAATGTCGGTTTATTACTTATCAACCATAATCTCTCCTGTGATTTGCCGGTGTGGGATTCGCCTAAAGTGTTACCGTTAGTTCACTGGGTGGTGCGGTGCAGATATACTTTAAAGTAAGGATTGTAAATCGTATAAGAGGTTGTACTGAAAAAGTTAGTGGTAGAGTATGCTATGATGCGATTTTGCAATCCTTACTTTAAAATGAATGCTCAACGTTATAATGTTAGTAAAAATACATGTAAAATATATAACAAATTTGAGAAATATACTAATTGGATAAGTTTTAGTCCCTTTCTAACTATCACAACTCAAATATTTTAGATCTAAATCTTTTTAGCCTCTAGTACTATTTCTAACTTCGCCACTAAAAAACAAGAAGATATAATGTGAGCATTTGGTGCAATATGATTTAGGATAAAAAGCTCAATAATGCTGATGTGGAGCAAACAAAGAAGTATTTTGTATATGAATTGCAGAAGATACATGTAAGCTCTAACATAGTGTATTATATTGTAATAAACCTAATGAGTACTTAAAACAACCAAAAACAATTGTCTATATTACATGAGATGCAAAGGCAAAAGGATAGCAACAAAACAATATTAAAAATTGAAAACTAAAACAAATGTTAGTGTAATGGAGAGAGAGAGAGAGAGAAAGACTGCAAAGTCTGCAATCTCAAGTCTCTTCATTTCTTCTCTTCTTTTTCTCACTACTCTCCTCCTTCCTTCTCACTTCTTTCCTTTTCCCTTTCCTTTCCCCTCTGCACTTCTGTCCATGGCTTTCTTGAGCTCCCAACTTTCCCTTTCCTTGTATTAAAAGTCTTCAACTCATAGTTTATCAAACAATCCAATCCCCAAATAAACAATCTCATCAATAGCCCAAAAACAAAGCCAAAATATTCACTTCAATCCTGTTCTTGCTCTCTCTTCTTCCCACCCATTGGTTTTTTGTGTTATTAAATCCTTTTTCAACCCTTCCACTCCTTTTTTTTAATACTCATCTCAAGCTTTTGATGCTCTTGTTCCCATGGCCGGTCTGGATTTAGGCACAACCCCTCGTTTCATCCACCATCAGCTCGACCATCACACACCTGATCTCCATCTCCACAACCCCTCCTCCGTAGAAGGAGGTCCCCACCAGCACCACTATCTTCACGATTTGAATCGCGCTGGTGGTGGTGGTGGCGGAGACTACGGACTAGTTTTACAGGGTGGTGGTGGTGGTGCTGGTCTGTCGTTTCTAGCTGGAGCAGACCAGCACCAACACCAACAGACTCGTCAGGACGAGGATGAGGACGACGACGAGCCTCGACAAGGAAGCCATGGTGGCGTCGTGGCGAGGAGGCCACGTGGCAGGCCGCCGGGGTCGAAGAACAAGCCGAAGCCGCCCGTGATCATAACGAGGGAGAGCGCCAACACGCTCCGGGCCCACATCCTCGAAGTCGCCAGCGGGTGCGACGTGTTCGAGTGCGTGGCGAGCTACGCGCGGCGGCGGCAGCGCGGGATCTGCGTGCTGAGCGGCGCGGGGACGGTGACAAACGTCAGCATCCGTCAGCCGGCCGGAGCAGCGGCGGCGGGGGTCGGGAAGCTTCACGGGACGTTCGAGATCCTGTCGCTGTCCGGGTCGTTCCTCCCGCCGCCGGCGCCGCCCGGGGCGACCAGCCTGACGATCTTTCTGGCCGGAGGGCAGGGGCAGGTGGTTGGCGGGACGGTGGTCGGCGAGCTGATTGCGGCTGGGCCGGTTATCGTTATAGCTTCGTCTTTCACCAACGTGGCGTACGAGCGGCTGCCGCTGGAGGAGGAAGAGGAGGACGGCGGTGGAGCCGGGAGCGTTAATCACGGCGGGTTTCCTGATGGCGGAGCTGCTGCTGCAGCGGCGGCGGCGGGGTTGCCGTTCCTTAACTTGCCGGTGGAAGGATGGAACGGTGGAGGAAGAGCTCCTCCCTATTGATGATATAATGGGATTTTATTTAAAATTTTATGTGTCTGTGTACGTGTGTGAAATTTGATCCAAAAAAGGTCAGCCAAGTTTTAGTTTTTGAATGTCTTTCTCATTCTTCTTCTTCTTCCTCTACTACTACTTCTACTCCTTTTGCAAATTCTTATGGTTTGTTTTCGTTAGGGTTTAGAGAATTCCTAATTCCTCTTTTTTGTTCCTTTTGTTTGGGGTATTTAGAGCACTCATTGTGAAAGAAAAAAAAAATGTTAGTCTGATTTCGTTGGACTTTGAGTATTCTGATTTCGTATGATAAATAATCATCCTTAAATTTATGATTTCAGAAACACTTTTATGATTTCGAACAGAGATACGATAGAATTCTCCCTATATTTTTTTGGCTGCTGATATGTACACGAGCAACTCGAGAAACTAGCTAGCTAGCTAGGGTTTCTGGTTGCTGAGATTTACTTAGAACCAGAGACTATAGGTTCTGAATCGTAATTGATCTACCTACCCATGATACCATTAGTTCATTTAGGGCTTCCATGGTTTTCAGGGAGAGAAGAAATATGGCAGATTTGATGCAATTAAAGGGGAGTGGTGTGGGATTAATTGCCTGGCTCCCGTGTTTTCTGCATTTACACATGATCATGTGATGAATTCCATGCCCATCATGATCAATGTCCCTTCTAGAAACCCAGATTTTGATTTATTCCCCCTTCCTATCATTATCATGTAATATTGACGAAATGTTACGGTCTCGGATAGTTGATTGATCTAGTGAAAACGTGAATTAGAATCTTGAAAGCCATTGTCAGAAGCGATAAAAAAAAAAGACAATTGCGATTATTTAACTAGTATCTTCCCTTTTGACAATGGGGATGGGGGGAAAAATTATTACTGCTCTAGCTCTGTTCCAACTACATATTAAAATTTTGATTAACAGTTAATTACCTAGTTAATGAATAAAATTATATGTACTTTTCATGGGAGGTTAGGTAGATTACTTTGAGGAATGATAATCATCATCAACAACAACAAACAGCAAAGGCTAGCTAGATTTTATGTTTGTTTAATTCCCATGTTCTTCAAATTAACAATGATAAGACAACATGCATTTCATCTACTTTTGGTCTCATATATGCTTTGAGTATTAATGTCTATCTATAGGAGTTGGTAATATAATATAGCAATTAGGGTAATTTTGTTTCTCCAGTCTCTCTTCAACTGAGATTCTCATTCTCTTATATTAATACTTCAGTTTAAGAACTTTTTCTATGCCAATATATGTTACATATAGATTATAATCATATTATTAAATTTGGGTAGTTGTTAATGTAACATAACTTAAGTTGTGCAACATATATACATGTGACTCATATATTGGTTGTACTTTCTTTGTCTCTCTCTTTGTCTAGCTATTTTTGTTCATGTGTTCTCTCCTTTCATTTTTAATTTTCTTTCATGTATAGGTCCAATGAAGTTTGTTCGGAAGATTTGGAAGTTAGATGGTGTATTTATGAAAACTTGCAGATATCAGGCTGATATTGTCATTGACAAAAATCAATAATAAATTTGTTGAAGTGCCGAAAGAGTTACAATTTTTTTTTTTTTTGCATACAGGGAGGCATTACGCCAAATAAAGGAAGGGAAAGGGAGGGGTTACAGGTGAGGAGAACCGGGAGAAGGAATAATAAGTCTAGCAGAAGTGACGCCTTCAGCATCATCCTGAAGCAGCTGAAGAAGCTCATTAGGAGGTGTCTCTAATTCATGTGTACCGTAGGGATAGACGAGACTGTGCTTCGAGAGCCAGTTCGCGACTCTATTCCCTTTCCGGTATAGATGAACTAGATTCACAATCCAGTCTTGAGCTAACAAACGTCTGATGGCCATTAAGAGCGCTGCATAGGGGTGTAAAGGGTCTGACCTATCTTTCACAAGTTGAATTGCAAGCTGAGAGTCGGTTTCAGTGATGAGGGTCCTGCAATCGTGTCTCCAAGCCAACTTGAGACCATGAAAAATGGCCCATAATTCGGAACAAATGGCTGAACAAGAGCCCACACCAGCAACAAAACCACTGATCCAGTTACTGTCGGCGCCTCTCAGCACTCCACGTGCACCAGCTATTCCTGAATTAGCACTCGTCGCCCCGTCCACATTAAGCTTCGCCCAGCCAACTGGAGGTGGCTTCCATCCGACCTGCGCTTCAATGCGACTCCGAGTGGAATTCCTTCGCCCCATCAGCGGGCTCGGCGCATTCCAAGCCTTCCACCACAGCTCGGCCCGAATCTTCACAGCCTGCAAAAGAGAAGGGGCAGACAGGGTCTTGTTTACTCCATGAAAAGTACCATCATTCCGGTTCTTCCACATGCTCCAAAGGGCAATGCTAAAAAACACATTCCAGGGGAGGCCTGATAGGGAAGGCTCTTCGCAGTTGATATTGGTCTCCACCCAGCTGTTCCAGTTGCGACTGAAGAAGCTCTGAAGCTTATCCGGATGAAAGGTGCGGGTCCAGACATAAGCTGCCGGGGGGCAGTCTCTAAAAAGGTGCAGCGGCGTCTCCGTAAGAGTGGGGCATCTGTAACAGGAGGAGTCGTGTACGAGGTGCCTCCTAGCTCTTTCCTCGTTCGAGCTTATTCTCCCTTGCGCCACCAACCAAATGAAGCATCACACACGCTCTGGCACAGCAAGCCTCCAAATCCTCTTCCAAAGCTGATGGTTATTGTCATCGATAGTGTCTTGAAGCAACTGGTAGGCACTCTTGGTAGAGAATCTTCCATTTGAGGTAGGCTGCCACAACAGTGTGTCTTCTTCCGTTGAGAGAGGGTCCACCACCCGCGCTGTGATCTGCCTCACAATGTCCGAGGGGAGTATGTGGTCGAATTTCTCCGTCTTCCAGTTCCCGTCCTCGTCCACGAAATCCTCGACTCGGAGCTCTCGCTCCTCCTCCGGTATCTGGCCCATTGCTAGTTCCTGAAGGGGTACCTGCGTTAACCAGACATCAGACCAGAAATTAGTACGATTACCTCTATGAATATTCCAAGCGCAACCCTTCCTAAGCATATTCCCAGCTTTAGATAGGCTAGACCAGGTAAAGGAACTTCCCTGAACAGGCCTCAAAAGGTTGAGATGAGTTTGGTCTTTCCCATATTTCGATCGAACCAGCTGAGTCCAAAGAGTCTCTTTCTCTTTGATTACCCGCCATCTGCCCTTAGCCAGCATGGCTAAATTAACCTCTCTTGTCGATCTAATGCCCAGACCTCCATTATGTTTTGGAGCCAACAACCGTTGCCAGGGAACCAGGTGGAGCTTCTTTTTCTCATCAGTGTCCCCCCAGATGAAGCTCCTGTTAATCCGATCTAGAGACCTGCAAACATTCATCTGGAGCATTTCTGTTGCATAGGGTAAATCGGGATAGAGGCAGAAATAGATTTGACCACAGTGATTCGAGCAGCGAGAGAAAGGTGTTTAGTCTTCCAGGGAGCAAGCTTCCGTTGGATCCGCAGAGTTACATGTCTGATAATTCAAATGGTAAATCCTTAAGAAATTAATTTAATGCAACTTTGAAGGTGCTACAAATATGATTTTGGAATTCAATTACATTCTTATATGAATATATTAGTGTGAGATTTCAAATAGAGTAATTCACTTGGAAATGAATTATACATAATAATTCATTTTTAGAACAAAATGAATTTTTATGGTGTAGCATGTATACTCAAGAGTCAAGAATCAAGCGCTTGCATATGGAAAATTTAGGTATGCCAATGAGACGAGATAGACTCTAATTACTCGAGGATACAAGACATTAGTTCAGGTGACTAAAAATTTCCAAATTCCCTAGTTAGTGAGACTTTTTGCTACATGAATCTCTCCCGTGTAATTTATCTCAAATGTCGTTCGGATGAAAATTTTCAATAAATCACTCGTCCAGTTCGGATTAGAAGTAAGAATCTATTCTAAGAATACATTTGCCAAGTGTTCTACTACTTAAATACTCTATAGTTGAATAAAAGAATTACCAGCTATTTAAATGACATAAAACCATATATGCATGGTATCAAAATTCTTCACTTTAGCAAGGATGGTCAAAGAACATGGATGGCGCTAAAGCTAGATATGGAAAAAGCTTACGACCGTGTGGAATGGCATTTCTTTTTGAAGTTATGGAAAAGTTAGGATTTGAATCTAAGTTTATATCATGGATAAAAGAATGCGTCACGACAGTATCCTATTCGGTTCTAGTGAACCGAGTCCCTTCTAGTTTTTTCCGGCCCTCAAGAGGACTTAGACAAGGAGATCCCCTTTCATCTCTCCTTTTCGCAATTTGTACAGAAGGATTCTCTGCTCTGATAAGACACTCAGTGGCAATAGGGTATCTAGAAGGAGTCAGAATCCGGGCAAATTGTCCGATGGTCTCTCACATTTTCTTTGCGGATGACTCCTATCTTTTTTTAGAAGCCTCCCAGCAGTCTTGCTCAACAGTGCTTTCCTTATTCCAAGTGTACGAAGGTCTGAGTGGCCAGAGGGTTAATCTTCAAAAGTCTGCTGTTCTTTTCAGTAGAAACACGGATCCAGACCTAGCTGAGAACCTAGGAAGGCAACTAGGAGTAGGAAGCATTGGAGAACAAGATTATTACTTGGGGCTCCCTTCACTTATTTCGAGATCAAAAAGGGAGGCATTCCTTTTCATAGAAGAAAAGCTCATTAAGAAACTGCTAGGTTGGAAGCAGCGGGTTCTCTCTAAAGCTGGAAAAGACATCTTGATTAGAACAGCTGCCACCAATCTTCCAGTCCATGGGATGTCGTGCTTCAAACTTCCGAAAGAGAATTGTAGAAGACTAAATAGCCAAGTGGCAAGGTTCTGGTGGGGTTCAGCAGAAAATACAGACCGGCCAATTCATTGGGTATCCTGGAAAAGCCTGGCAAGTAGTAAATTTCTTGGAGGTCTAGGCTTTAGAGACTTTGGGGCATTTAACCAAGCATTGTTAGCTAAACAGTGCTGGCGAATT